CCTTAACCCTAGGGTTCGCAATTTCGGAGTATCCGGGACTCCGATTCACGATCCGTCGAATCCTATACAATCCTAGCAAGGTCTAGATTAACATATCTGAAAGTGATCACGACCCAACGGTTCGAAACTATTGAACCCGGATAACGCACAATATGTAAAAATCCGTTCGAGGCTCAAACGGTATCCAAATTGAAATCCGAGCGTACCGTCGTGCTCGGGACGATGTGGAGAACATTCTAGGACAAAAACCCAGCCTTGGCACCCCACCGACGCGCCGCCACCACCGGTGGGTGCATTGAGTAATTTTCCGGCGATCGGAAAACTCCAAACCGCCGGCTAATAATCATACCTACAGATTAAGCACATCAAGGGGAGTAACTTTATACCTTGGCTCGACGATCAATTCCACCTCTAAAGCCCTCGAACGAAGCTTTCTATCTCTTGAAAACCTAGAATATCAACTTAAAATTTTCAATGGAAACAAAATATCAAAATATCAACTTAAAATTTTCAGGAAATTAATTCCCCCTAAATACTCCAATATTTAATTCATTAAAATTCAAATTACCACAAATTTGACCGTGCAATTTTTATAGTGAGCTTAAAAAAATATGGAAATTTTCCAGGGATCACATAGATGCTCATGTATAAGTATACATCGTACTTATTTATTTATTGAAAAAATATAATAATAAATATTAAAGTACCTTTTAAGGAACAACAAATTTCAAACAGAAGTACAATTACATAGATTAGAAGCTCCTCAAAGAAGCTGTAAATTTCGATCATCGTACATTACTTTTTATATAATACATTATTCCTGTTTATAATTAAAAGCACCCCTAATATTTACTTGTATAATACCCTAATTATTATTACTATTATTATATATATATATAAAGTAAAAGATAGAGAATGGTGAAACCTTCAAAATATTAGAAAATGCCCTAGGTTAATGTAAACATTAAGAATTTAAATTATTGAGGATAATATGGTAAATTCATATTTTTCATATTAAAAAAAATTAAAAATTAAAAACAAAATCAGATAGTGGATCATATTTTTATGGAACACAACTACCCATTATATTTTTTTAATTCTAAAATAAAAACCAATTGCTCACATGTGTGCCAAGAGGCTAATATATAAAAAGCAAAAGGTAAAGAATGGTGAAACATAACTAACTACAAATTTTATCTTTTCTTAATTCTAAAAATTTAAAATTTAAAATTTAAAAGAAAACCAATTGGCATGCATGTGCGAAGCGCATGGGCTAGTTATTTATAATATATGTATGTTCCGCAATTTGTTTGTCTTGCACTTTGGTCAGAACAATTCATATGTTTCTTAGTTGTGTCATCATAACAAAGGACAACCTTCAACAACAAATCATTGTCGTTGATCGTATGGAAAAGAAGGAGAGGCGAATTGCGAGTTTCCATTTGAATAGCATTCATAGGCAAAACATCTTTATACGGTGTCATGTATCTTGGAACAAGTCGGTAGGGAAGGCTGTAGAGAATTGGGACCGCCACTTCCTGAATTGGCTCTTCAATGACTCGATGCATATTGACTATGAACCTTTTCATGTGAACATGAGAGCCACCCCACAAATACAAAGGAAGTTGGTTAGAATCACAGTCAAAATTCCAAGCTAAGACCCCAAGGAAAAACCTAACTAACGGCAAAGTGAAAAAAAAAAATTAAAAAATTAGCCAGTCACCCCCAGTTCAACATAACCGCTCGGCTCTAGGTCAGTGACGCTGAACTAGAGCCCAGCTGCTAAGCCACAGAGCGTATTCTCTTATGTGCAAATGTCAGTGGAGCGTATTCTTTTATGTGTGAAAAACTATGATGTCGGTGGAGCGTATTCTTTATCAACCCGTGATCGACATTGGCGTCCTCCACATGATGGTTATTTTAAACTTAATGTTGATGGTGTGTTGGATATGAAGGAAGGACTTCGGGGATTAGTGTGATATCGCGTGACTTTCACGGAACCATGGCTGGCGTACTAGCCATGTGATGTGATTAATTGCAAGTGGACAATATCGTTCCAACAGGGATCAAGTTAATCTATTAAATATTAGAGTGATTTATTTCTAATTATATTTGAATTAAACAAAAAGAGAATTATGATGATTAAAATCTAATTAAGCAAGTAAAATAAATTGAGATCAAGTAAATAATATAAAAGATGAAGACAAAGATGATAAAGCACTAGGGCACCGATTTCACCTAGCTAATCTCACCCAAATCATTCTAACTTGTTAATTCTAATTACCTAACATGTTGATAATCGTTTTCCCTTACCTCACCAATACTCTCTTTCGAGTTATATTAGTTGTATTCCTTACCATCAACCCACTCTATTCCTAGTTATGGATTTAGATAGCTAAAAACCCATTAAGATTTATAGAAAACAATAAAGATTACACAAACCATAACCTAGTCTTCCGAGTCGGCTATGTAATTTATGGTACTTGTTACAAGAAGCTATTTATTAGGAATCTCCTTCCAGTCTCAACCTAATTCTTCTAATCATGTAATTAGTTGTCAATTAATTGAAAGCATTAAGAACGGTAACAAGCACTCAACATGTATAGATAAATATAATTAACAATATCAAAGAATTTGAGTATTCAATCGTAGCCCTAGTAAAAGGAATTAGTTCATGAAGGACTTATTTAGAATCATGATGGTTGATGAAGATATGGAAGACACCGAATTCTCCAAGTAGAATGCCAAGGTTGCGCAAGGTTTCTTCATATTCTCCTTTCGATATTTCGGCTATAAGTATGAATATGTTGGATGATGGATAATGGAGGATGGAGGATGATTGGTCCTTGAACAATGACCTAAACTCGCTATTTATAATACTCCTACAAATCCTACCTATCTAAGGTATAATTACAATTGTTATAAAAATAGGATTCCTTCTAAAATAGGGTCTTCTTTATTTCTCCTTGTTTGACTTGATAAGACTTGAACCATCTTGAACCAAGAAATTTGACAACATTCCTTGTGACAAAAGGAATGACTTGGTTTCTTGACTTAATTAATCTCCAATCTTCATCTTCTTGCCTTTTTTAGCACACTTTCTCATATTTCCACAATTCCTTCACAAATCTCACAAAACCAATTAAAACAACCAATTTAATCTAAGGAAATTAACAAATAAATAAGTAAAGGAGACATAAAAAATATATAAAATATAGGCTTATTACCATGTGTGCCCCTAACCTACTATATGTGCTTGCAACTGAATTATATGCATCAAGTTGGGCTCTATTTTTCCTTGGATGCCTCATTACTGCCTCTAGTAGTCGAATTCGACTCGTTAGTGGCAGTATAATTGCTTTAGAAGGAAGAGGAGTGCTTTGCACCTGAGGGAGTGTTGGTGAAAGAGGTTCGGCGCCTACTTGATGCTATGTCCTCATGTGTTCGTTTTGTCCCCCGTCCTGCAAACGTAGTGGCGCATCACATTGCTCATTTTAGTCTTCATGCAAAGGAACTTTGCTTTTGGTTAGATGATGGGTCTCCCTGGCTTATTGATGATATTATGGAGGATTGGTCCAAAGTTAGTTGATTGGTTTTCTTAGTTGTTTTGACTATTATGTTTAACCAATAACATGGGTGTTACTCTCTCCTACACCGGGGTTTTGTTCCATGCGGCTTTCTCGGAAAAGGTTTCAAAGAGGTCGTCGTTAACATGCTAGTCTTCTCCATGTAATGTTCTAATTGGGTTTAATAAAATACAATCTTTCTCTCAAAAAAATTGAACCAAATCCATGATCAAATGCCCAATAATACCCCATACCCTAGCAACAGTACCAAAGAAGGTTATAAAATAGCAGTTGTTGCCCTAATCATTGCCGCTACGTTTGTCACCACTACAACCATAAGAACATGGAGCGAAACCACAACATATTCATTGGGTCAAACAATAGATCCATAAGTGTTGGTGTTGGTGGCTTGATACAAGCCATGATGTGTAAGTCCCACATAGGAGAATACAACAATAATTTATAGTTTAAATGTAGTGGTTCACTCCTAATTGCACTAATGAATTTTGTGATAAAATGACAGGACCTGACCCAAATTTTGCTTTGGAATCTGAGCCGAACCCTGTCCGTGTCCGGGTGCCAGGCACACTTGACCAAAATGCGCTTCCAACTAAATCTCAAAATTCTTTTTCAAGTTTGACTTCAGCCGGAAATTCGGCAGAGTCTCCCCTAACTTTGATGGCCTTAGGCCTCCATAAATCAAATAAAACATTCTACCATCTGAATCTGAACTCAACCCTTAGAAAATAAAGTAAATACTTAATCAAATAAACAGAAGTGTCAAATGCAAAATGCCAATATTGTTTTTGGTACAGATCCATGGGCAAGGAGAGTGAGACCTGTCTCAGTAATATGACGTATTTTTCTTTCAGCAGATCCATTTTGCTCATGAGTGTGTGGACAAGCAATTCGATGAGTGATCCCACATTTTTCAAAGTGAGAAGAAAGCTTACGGATCTTGGTATTAAACAAGCGTTCTGCTTTGACTTGAAATTTAAGAAATATGTCACACACATCAAATTTACGGACTAAAGGGAAAAACCATACATATTTGGAAAAATCATCAATAAACAAAACAAAGTAACGATGTCCTTCAATGGATGGAATTGGGGATGGCCCTCATACATCATTGAAAATAAGTTCTAATGGATGAGAGCTAACAGGAGTGGGAGGTAAAGAAAATTTAGACATCTTTCCCAAACAACAAGTAGTACAAGGAGGTAGGTCCTTTGAAAGAGAAGGAAGATTATTGCCATTTATTACTTGACGAAGAACACGTGGATGTGGATGACCCAAGCGTGCATGCCAACAAGAGAAATTGGCACGTTCGCTTAAGAAAGCCATGGGACCGTCATTTTTATTGGAGATGGCAATATTACTAAGCTTATAGAGGCCACCTTCATTCAGCCCGTGAAGTAGAGGTTTCCCTGTGTGCTAGTCCTTCACAACAAAGAAAGTGGGGTGAAACTCAAAATAACAATTATTATCTTTGGAGAATTGATGAACAGAAAGAAGTTTCTTTGTGATATCAGGAACATGTAAGATATGAGATAGATTAAAAGAACGAGTGGCATTAGAAAAGGTAGATGTCCACACATGAGAAATATTTAGCCCATTACCATTACCAACTTTCAATTGATCTGGACCATTGTAGTTATTAGCGATGGAGAGATTGGCAAGATCCGGAGTGACATGATGAGTTGCGCCAGTGTCAGGAAACCCTGTGTTAAAATCACTATTTGAATATGCTGGAAAGGATGCAATGTGAGCAGAAGCATCATTGGGCTTATCATAGCGATATCGACATGTAGCAGCCAAATGATTTGTTTGATTACAAATCTGACATCTTGTTGTATTTGAAGGATTTGGTGGGGTTGGGAGCAATCCACGGTGCAAAGAATTAGACCTGGTATGAAAGGACCTGTGGTTGTTTTGATGTGATATGTTCTTGAAATTTGATTGACTTCGATGATTGTGGAAATTTGGAGATGCTGGAGCCCGGGTGTTATTGGAATTTTGGCCTTTGTACACCATATTAGCAGAAGGAAGAATTGTTGAGTAAGTTGCTTGCTCTTGAAGACGAATCTCATGACTCACAAGTAGGCTATGGAGTTCTGAATAAGAGATGGGACTGAGTCTGGTAGACATGGCAGTGACCATATCACTGTAATCGCTACCTAGATTGCGGAAGATAATAGCATTGAACTCATTGGTATCAAGGGGTTTTCCTGCAGCAGCAAGTTGATCGGCTATGAGTTTGGCCTTTTGAAGATAAGTCGCTATTAGTAGATCGCCTTTTGAGAAATTTTGAAGTTGAGTATGTAACTGAAGGAGTCGGGTATTCGTAGGAGATCCAAAAGCTTGTGTGAGAGCTTTCCAGGCTTGAAAGGAGGTGGAGGTGCCTACTATGTGAGGCATAACATCTTCAGTTGAGGATGCAATAATCAAACTACAAAGCATTTGGTCACGTTTGCGCGAAGAAATAAACTCTGGGTTGGACTGAGAGGTATTGCCCACACCAAACTCTGGGTTGGACTGAGAGGTATTGCCCGCACCTACTGTTGATGGTGGTGCAGTGTCAATTCCATCGATGAGACCTTCAAGGTCATGAGAAATTAGAATTGGCTCAAATTGTGTCTTCCATAAAAGAAAATTGGTGGGGGTGAGCTTAAGGGAAAGAAAGTGTGAAGGATTAGGCATTGGCATTGTTTGATTGTGAGTGAGTGTGGAAGTGGGATTGATGGTTTTATCCTGATTAGGTTGAGATGCAGCATCTGATGTAGCCATAGGAATAGGAAAGAAAAGAAAATAATAACGATAGAGATCAGAAGATAAGAAAGGGAACAGGATCAGTAAAGCTTTGATACCATGTAAAGTTTAGATTTCCTCACACCAAATAGTGTTGAGATTTTCTATATTTATACAGAGTATGAATCAATTACAGAAATTCAAAGGAGCTGATATCAAGGAGGCATTACACTTGCTATGATAAAGGAAAGATTACAAAATAATTACAAGATTCTTAGGAAGGAAAAACTACAGCTGGTGCTAATATCATGGGTGATTTGCAGTTGTTACAGCTGCATTTGTAACGGTTGAAGGTGCAACTAATACTACGAAGCATCCCCACCTCTATTTTTCTGGTTTTAAATAATCCCTCAAAATAATTGTGTCACCATTTTCACTAGAACCCTTTTTTTTTTTATCCAGACAGTTCAAATATAAATCAACAGAAAATTAGGACCATAAATCCACATTTTGGTGTTTTTATCCATTCTTAGGTGATTTCAGCATGCATCTTACATGAAGATTTGCTTATGCCATTTTCTCAATCTGGGATGTCTTCTCACGGGAGCTTTCATTTTAAGACACTATATAGTTTACTAATTTAGAAGATAGAAATACAATTTCATCTAATTAACATAAGGCCAAAGACCAAAAAGTAGTACTAATTTTACAATAATGTAATTAAAAAACATCAAAATTACACACAATGCCACTCCTTTAAAAGCAAGCACACTATGCCACATGTCCACCTTCAGCAATTTCCCTTTCGGTCAACTACCACCACTGCCGGCCAGCTACCGCCACCGTCACCGGTCAACCACCACCACTTGCCGCCGGCCAACCTCCTTCGGGGCAACTGCCACCACCGGCCAGCCACCACAGCTGCCACCAGTCAACCCCCTTCCGGCCAGCTGCCACCACCACCGACCAGCTGCCGCCCATCACCGGCCAACCACCACCACCTGTCGCCGCCCATCTCCGACCAACCGAGGACTAACTCCATTGCCTTTTATTCACCCTAAAAAAATAGAAGAATTTGTGTCATTGAAGGGACTCGAACCTTGACCCTCAAAGGAGGAAGCCTTACTCACAAACCACTACACCAAACTTGTTTTTGTGATATCTATTCAATTACACAATATTTATATAAACAATCATTGATTTAAAAAATAAAAATAAAATAAAATTATTTCAACACAAATTCATGCAAAAACTGTATATTAAAAATAAAATAAAATAAAAAAAAAAAAAAACCAAAGCCAAAGCTACAAACAAAACACAAAAACAAAACCATCAAAATGCCTCGTAGAAGAAGAATTACACAAGAAAATTGTCGTGGCAAACAAACCGAAGAAAGAAAAGGCCAACACAAAACAAAAGATGAAAACAGAGAAAAGGAAAGCAAAAAAGGAAGCTGGAGAAGAAGAAGAGGAAGATGAGGTTGTTGATTACAACAATGATGTGGTCAACCTAATTTGAGAAAAGATTTGTTATATATCTCTACTGTCATATAATCTTATAACAAGATGCAACAAACGGAAATGGAACAAGAAATTGCACTGCAGTTGAAGGAAATCTTCTTCTAACGGAAAAACAAACGGAAACTGCAACAAACTAAAACTGCAACGCAGTTTATGACAACATTTGCTCAAATTTGCAAAGAAACCAAAAGGCAAAGTCATTATCAAAGTACTAAAACTAGGTTCAAAACACATTTAAGTTGATGAGCAGTTCTAGCATTCCCATAGACTTGGAAAAATTATTCTAAAACTGAAATATAGAACAGGAAACTGCATTGCAGTTTCTGATAAAAAAAAATGCAACAAACAAAAACTTCAGTGTAGTTTATAAAAAAAAAAATATGCCCAAAAGTGAAAAGAAACCAAAAGGCAAAGCCATGATCAAAGTACTAAAACTAAGTTCAAAACACATATAAGTAGATAAGCAGTTGTAACATTCCCAGACTTGGAAAAATTATTCTAAAATTGAAATATGGAACAAGAAACTAAAATTACAACAAACAGAAATTGCAGTGCATTTTATGACAAAACATCTGCTCATATTTGCATAGAAACCAAAAGGCAAAGCCATAATTAAAGTACCAAAACTAAGTTTGAAGCACATTAAGTCGTAATATTCCCATAGACTTGTAAAAATCATTCTAAAAGAGAAATATGGAACAAGAAATTTCATTGCAGTTTCTGATAAAAAACTGCAACAAACAGAAACTGCAATGCAGTTGAAGGAAAAAAAATCTGCTTAAATATGAAAAGAAACCAAAAGGCAAAGCCATGATCAAAGTACTAAAACTAAGTTCAATACACATATAAGTAGATGAGCAGTTGTAACATTCTCATAGACTTGGAAAAATTATTCTAATATCAAAATATGGAATAGGAAACTGCATTGCAGTTTCAGATAAAAAAAATGCAACAAATAGAAACTTCAGTGCAATTTATGAAAAAAATATTCCCAAAAGTGAAAAGAAACCAAAAGGCAAAGCTATGATCAAAGTACTAAAACTAAGTTCAAAATACATATAAGTAGATGAGCAGTTGTAACATTCCCATAGACTTTGAAAAATTATTTTATCAAAAATTGCAACAAACGGAAATTGCAGTTTCTGATAAGAGCACATTAATCAGCATATTTGTATCTTCAATAGGCATAATAGGCCCAGCAAAGAATAAAGATTATGAATTTACATAAGAATTTGGTCATTTTGAGATTCTCAACTTCAGAGATAGACAACAACGAACAATTGAGTTTCAAAATTCAGAAAGAATGTCACTTTGATGCATTCAACATATATATTACCATTGTGTTAATATCGGATTGGAAACTAAAGAAAAGAAATTATCCAAACAGACACAACAAAATTTCTAATTTTAGGAATCTAAAAATCTATCCAGCCATCAAAAACTTATTGTGAGGGGCCATCCTTTTAAAGTCAAATTGTTACCACCTGATTTGATCCTGAAACAAAAGACTCTAACATGTAAGCTACAAGCATAATTATACAATACCACGTTCCAAGTTCAAGAAGAAACTGAAGAAAGGCCAAGAAGAACAAGCAAGATATATGAACTAAGAGAACCATACCCGTCATTAACAAAATTCCATGCAACTTGAGCAAGGGCACTATGAGCTACTTTGAATTTCTTTATTGCCTCAACCAGCGGTTTATATGGATGGTTTACATTAAGATCAAAAGCAAGAGTTGCAAGAACAACCCTCTCTCCAAGTAAAATCAACTCTTTATGCTGTTCATATACGTCCTGCATGATTGTTGCAAATGTGTGAGAATAGATAAATAATTGCATTATAAAGCAAACAATAAATTAAAATCAAATTTGGATAGCAGTTCTGGGATAAAAGAAACATTAAAATCAAAAAGGGAAAAAGAAACATTAAAATCAGAATTTTTATTTATTTATAAGAATGAAATCCTTACAAGCTATAACATTAAGTTCACAACAAATTAGAGTGAAAACTGCATACCAACCTAGCAATTTAGAAAGCAGTGAACATGCAAGTGAAGACCAGAGAACGTGTATGTGAACTTTTTCAGCAAAAAAGAAGAAAGCCGAAATTTGACATTTTATTGAAACCAACTGACTTGCAAAGCATTCAGTGGATTCTCAGTTCTTGAATCACCAGTTTACTATTTAGGAAGTCAGAATTACCTTGTTGATTGTCAAGGTATCATCTGAAAATACGATAGATTTACTAATGAATCAACAATTCATCAATTATCTTGTGTAGCAAAAAAAAAGTGAATCAAATTATAAAATTCTTAAGTGGGAAGGATAAAAGGAGCTATAGGTCAACAGCCTCTGCCTAGCATAGGCTAATCAGCCTTCAGGGGTGCACTCAATAACTGGATTTTCTTACTTGAAAAGATCTAATGATAATTGAATAGGAATAGAGCAAAGGAAACATGAGTACCTGAAGGCTGCATAACAGTTTAATAGAATTTAGTCAATAAAATAAAACATCTTCCCTTTTTCTTTGATACGAATCATTTTCCCAATTAATTTCACCTTAATCGTTTGTGGGATAGGAAACTTAACAATTCTACAAATGAAAGTTCAACAATACACACTGAGGGTTCACCCAACATTACAATTGCAAAAAAGCAACATAATCTTTAAAACACTACAATCGTGACCAAGAAGCAAATCGTTATTAGAGTTCATATAGGGTTTTGATGTACCAGAATGAGATCAAATAGGGTTGACTGGTCATTGTGCTTGGCGCCGATCTTGAACTCAGCAAGATAGTGATCGTAATGCTCTTCATCTTGAGCCAGAAGACCTTGGAGTTGCTGGCGAAGGCCGAAGGGATGAGCAGCTTGAGAATTCCATTGCAGGTGAAGGCTGTGGTCGTCATTGCTGCAGAGAGAGAGCGTGAGAGAGAGATCTAATCTGATAAAAAAAGAAGGGGGTTTCACTAAAACACCCAAAATGGGGGCTGAAATTATAAAAAAACCCAACACCCAAAACACTTTATAAACACACCCAAAACCTATCATTACACACACTCAAAACCCATTTATAAACACACCCAAAAAATATACAATTGTTGATTTTGGGATTGAGTTTGGGTGTGTTTCTATGTTTAAATAGTGTTAGGGTTTTTTTATAAATACATGTCTAGGATTGGGTTTATTTATAAATTTGTAAAAAAAGAAACCAATGAATCTTTTAAACAAAAAGGTTATAATTGTCTTTTCAGTGATTAATATAAGGTGGGTCAACATATCTGAGCCTCCTATTTGGCTAAATCCAAAACAAAATTTCATTCCTAGGTATTAAAACCCAAATAGAAATATTGTTTATCTCAACAACTAATTAGTAAAGATAATTATGTCTAATACCTAATTTTTCTTTTTAAAAAACAGATTATGAAATAAAACATCAACCCATCCATAATTCATTTTTATACAAAGGAAGGAGAAACATAACCAACGTCGAAGAATAGAATTCACGACCTGAGAT